CCAATAAAAATGCAAGTTTTGACACCCAAACTAATGCATCCGTTTATCATACATATCAAAACATACAGTTATCGCGTAAACCTGTACCTCTAGTCTATATTATAAATCCTAAAAAGTACCCCGCCGCCGTGTGCGACGTAGTCACTTTGTAGCGCTTATTGCGGCGGCGTCCGTTGACCTACGGCCGTGAAATTTTACAGCGATGTGGGCCACCTTTACACGTAGGTCGTATTAAATTTTGGGCATGATGCGGCCGGGGGTGCGACCTTGGCGCGTGCTCGCGTGCCCATAGGGTTATATATAATACTGAACGAGGCCGGTGTAAATAAATTTTCAAGACCGAGGTCCTTACTGAATTTTTGAACGAGGCCGAAGGCCGAGTTCAAAAATCAGTAAGGACTGAGGTCTTGAAAATTTATCACCGGCCGAGTTTGGTATGTATTTTACTGTATGCCAACGATAAAATAATTGTCTAGACCGAAGCTCTTAGCCGTTTTTTGAACGAGGCCATCCCAAAATGTTGACTTGGTAATTCGTTTTTGACCGTGGTCAATTTGCTTACACCAGTTATTACCACACCCCTCTGGCTAATGTATTTGAATAGGCCAGGCATACAGTAAACATTAGAAATGGCAAAAACACACTATTGCTTGGGAACGGTGAGGGCTACGGGGGTGAAATTTTCGCTGTAAGTCGAACGCGTGCACTCATTTGACGTATTAAATTTTCGAGGGGATGGGTTCAGCGGTGTGCACGTGGTGGGGCCGCGACCAGCGCCGAGCAGAGGGCACGTGCTTTAGGCTCAGTTGTTCGCTTAAAAAACTGAGTGGGCCGGCAGGTCATTGACCTTTGACAACGAAGGCCGACACAAGGCACCGCTCGCCAAGAGGATTCGCCAGTAAATACAATTAATTTGTTTTTGCAATATCTCAGCCGTATCTGGGCCGATTTAGCTGAAACTTGGACTGTCGGTGGTAGTGTAGGGTAGGGTAGGGTAGGGTAGGGTAGGGTAGGGTAGGGTAGGGTAGGGTAGGGTAGGGTAGGGTTGGGTAGGGGATTGTAGGGTAGGGTAGGGTAGGGTAGGGTAGTGTAGAGGTAGGGTGGGGTAGGGTAGGGTAGGGTAGGGTAGTGTAGAGGTAGGGTGGGGTAGGGTAGGGTAGGGTAGGTTAGGGTAGTGTAGGGTAGGGGTAGGGTAGGGTAGGGTAGGGTAGGGGTAGGGTAGGGTAGTGTAAGGGTAGGGTAGGGTATGGTAGGGTAGGTTAGGGTAGGGTAGGGTAGGGTAAGGTAGGGTATGATAGGGTAGGGTAGGCTAGGGTAGGGTAGGGTAGGGTAGGGTAGGGTAGGGTAAGTTAGGAGTAGGGTAGGGTAGGGTAGGAGTAGGGGTAGGTAGGGTCGGGTAAGGTAGGGTAGTGTAAGGGGGAAGGGTAGGGTAGTGTAACGGTAGGGTAGGGTAGGGTAGGGTAGGGTAGGGTAGGGTAGGGTAGTGTAGGGGTAGGGTAGGGTAGGGTAGGGTACAGTAGGGTAGGGGTAGGGGTAGGGTAGGGTAGGGTAGGGTAGGGTAGGGTATGGTAAGGTAGGGTAGTGTAGGGGTAGAGGTAGGGGCAGGGTAGGGTAGGGGTAGGGTAGGGTAGGGGTAGGGTAGGGTAGGGTATGTTAGGGGTAGGGTAGGGTAGGGTAGGGTTGAATTGAGTAACATCCTAACTTATTAAGGGCTCGAACAACTCGCATGCATCACCATCATACTTTATAGTTCAATTAAAAGCAGTTACCCAGTTCTACACAAATAATACCAATAAAAATGCAAGTTTCTACACCCAAACTAATGCATCCGTTTATCATACATATCAAAACATACAGTTATCGCGTAAACCTGTACCTCTAGTTTATTTCAAACGATTGATGTGCTCGTTTTCTTGTTCCTTGTTTCATACAACGGCGCTGAAGAAGTCTAATAGACGAAACCGGTACGCCTTTAATGTAACTGTTTTAATTGTTTGATTCGTGGAGCCTGGAGGTTCATGTACTCTCGATGCATCAAGTCGCATATTTGAACGCTTGAAAGTTGAAACCACGAAAAGACTGCAAACGCGCGGTTAATGCGAGCCGACATACGCCGAATCGCGATTCCGGCCTAACATGGTCTCCGAAAATAAGTCACAGGTCAAAGTTCATTTAGGTCAAGGTCATGACATTTTCAGGGTAGGTGTGAAATTGATCAACGCGAGGGTCATAGGCGGCGGAACGGGGAGGGCACCGGGGCACCGTGCCCCCCTTTGATTCTGGCATTTTAACATTAGCGCTATGGGCGTTGCATGGAAAGAATGGGACCAAAAGTCGGCAGTGCCCCCCCCCCCCCCAGTGGCGGATCCAGGGGGGGGGGGCAAAATGGGCATTTGCCCCTCCCAAACGGCGTAATTTTAACATAACGCCTATGGACGAGGCATGGAAAGAATCAATAAATTGTTATGGTTTCCCCCCCAAAAAAAAACTGTGAGCTGGATCCGCCACTGCCCCCCCCCCCATTAATTGAAGGTGTTCCGCCGCTACTGGCGAGGGTAGGGTAAGGTGCCTAATTAGCGACCCCCTTAATTTGAACCGTCATTGCTCACGCGCTGTGGGTGCCACTGTATTACTGGCTTGATTTTCGGAGAGATCGCCCATTTTTCTATTAAAATATAGTCATTTTCTGTCCCAATATTCACTGACTTATTTGTAGTGAGCATTTTGGCAAACCATTTCAAAAAGCGCTAATAGGGAACTCTTCCCGATTAACGACCGGGGAGGGTCGCTAATAAGTCTATGGGTTTTCCCATATTAAAGATGGCAAAAAATGCGACGCCTGAAAAGATGAAATATGATCTCAAAAAGGTAACCTAAACGCAAAGCACTCAATCACTCGAACAGGAACGTTTATCCAACACATTTACGTAAGTAAAAACTGATCACGTGATGCACCGAAGGCGAAAAGAAGGCGGAAACCCAAATTTTGCGGGCTATCTCGTATGATATTCGAGGTCCGCGCTGAATTCGGCACCCCTGCAGTCGGTGACGACATTTGGCATCCCCTGCCACACATTGCAAGCTTCAGCAACACCTCATTTTTATTTCTCTCTTTTCCCCTTTCTTTCCCTTCTTGAGCTATTTGCGACCATGTCAGGCGCAAATAGGAAATATGAGTTGCGACACATTTTTAACCGCCATGCTGTGCACAGTTGAGCGATTCACTATGGGAAAACGGCAATCAATTGAAAAAGGAATGTCGAATCAGAATAAAAAAGGTGCATCATCCTAATGTGCATCGCTTTTCATCAGAGAGGGCCCAAACACACACGTTTTGGATAAGAAACTCGTCATTTTTATTTAAACTCACCTGAAACGTCCCACCAGAAACATCGACGACCGGGAAATAATTTAATTTGATAACCAAAGTATGGCTGACCTTTTGACGATATTTTACCCCGTTTTCTCCTGCCAGTTTTTCTGTAGGGAGGTAGGTCGCAAATCGGAAAGGGTCGCTAATTAGGCATCTTACCCCTGAAAGTTTTGTCGCGATCGGCCGCTTTTTACGCGAGCTATTTGCGAAAAACCGAAAGGATGGATGTCCGTTCGACCCCCGCGTATACGGACGAGGGAACGAACCATTCCAACGTTTCTGAACCGATTGCATCGGCCTTCTGGAACGGGAGAACGGAGGAACGTACCGTTTTTCTCGCGAGCCGCAAATTCGTGTAATAAAATAAAAAATATTGCTTGATTTTTGCAGAGGCGGATCCAGCTCAGAGTTTTTTTTTTTGGGGGGGGGGCAAACCATAACAATTTATCGATTCTTTCCATGCATCGTCCATAGGCGTAATGTTAAAATTATGCCGTTTGGGGGGGGGGGGCAAATGCCCATTTTGCCCCCCTGGATCCGCCACTGAATTTCTTACAAGTTTCTCAGAATCTCCCAAATAAGTTTTTATTTTGCGCTTTTTTTTTAAATAAATTTAGTTCGAATGTTTGAATGGACGGATTGACAGAGCCCGCCGAGGCCCACGCTAAGCAGAGCCTGTTGCGTAGACCCCGACTCCTACCGTCCGATCGCGCAATTTCGGGTAATGGAGAATTTAGATGCCAAAGTTTAACGTGCCCTTCAAAGCCGAACACGACCGGTCCCACTCAACCGACTTCAACTGGCTGCCGATTTTTTGTTTTTTGTTTTGTTCGGTTAGGCCCTTTCGGTCCAATGAGACCATTTCAGAGCCGGGAGGATGATAGGATATAGGGGGAGACATGGGCAGGGCAGGCACCCTAGTGAGTCGCCGGGGCTGAGCCCGTCCAGAGGACAGGCCACCCAGCCCCAAGGCACTCACTGCACCCGGCTACGGGGTGCGCTACCTCGGGAGCAGCGGTGCCGCTCCAAGGGAGCAGCCCGCATGAGATAAAGTTGCCTGTCCAGGCCGGAGGGGGGTTGCGGGGTGGAGGAGAAGGATTTCAGCATCCTGAGGATAGAAGCACGGAACGGTGCCTGCGGATGCTCCTACCAACCGAAGACAATCCCCCTCAGGAGTCTCAAATATCGAGCGCCGGAGCGACTCGAACCCGGGCTCTCACTACCGGGAGTCCGGTGCTCTACCAACTGAGCTACGGGACAGGCTTAATTTATTACAGGCTAATTTATCTAATTTGTACTTTTTGACATTTGTACATCACATTAAATGACACTGCATATAATTTGATAGCAGTAACTGCTTATGTTCATGCGAATTTCACCTTACCGTTGCTGAAAAACATATGACGTCAAAATATTTGCTTTGCCTTTTTTTGTAAAAAATGACCCTTAATAGCCAAGATTATTCGTTTTTTGTATATTTAAAAATACTGATATCAATTTTTTCTAATTTATAACAACAATGACAAAATATCAGCCAAACACAAATATTACGTTTCACATTCATGTCTATTTATTTTTAGCGTTTCTATGACGGATTGGCGCATGCGCAGTCATTGTTTAACGACAAATCCGATAAAGAATAGGCGAATGTGAGTGAATATTGCGCTGTGGTTTCCTCTGTATTCTAATAAAAAGAGGAGGCTAATCCTGCTTGATAAATAAAGTGTGTCAAGTGAAAAATAAGCAAGATCATGCGGAACTTGAATGTTTACCGTACATGCACAACTGAGAGCTGACAAGCCCACTTATCCGGAGCGAGCAAGGTGTAGTTCTTCAAGAATACAAATAGGACACTTCATTTTTATTGCCTTTCATTGTTAACGGTGATGTTTAACGAGCCCTGAAGCTACACTTTGAAATGTTTTCGGCAACAAGCAGCATCTCCTTGGATACCCAGTCACAAGTATATGATTTTAAGAGTGAAGAAAATGCATTAAAATGGCAAGGACTCTTCAAAGAATCACTTGGAAAGGTAAGATAACTGTGCTTTAATTGGGCTAATGATGCTCATTGCTCTGTTAAGCTTTCATGGTTCATTGTTAATTTAATGTATTAAATGTTAATAGCTTTATACTTCATTTGTTTTTCCATCTAGTTAAATGCTATCTTACGATTAACGACTTCTTCCAAGACTGATAAGGAAATAATAGAAAGGTAAGATGAAAGTAATTGATACGTAACATACCAATGAACCGCATTGTAAAGAGGTTTTTTGAATATCAGCCACATTTGTTATATGCAAGGAATTTAATGGCATAAGTTCTATATGTTGCTGATTCAGACTACTTCCATTATTAGCCATTATCGCAACATAATTAAACTTCTAACAGTTACATTTCTTAGTTTTGAAAGTTTCCCATCACTGAAGCCTAGATTTTACTTGTGTATAGATTCTTTGTTTTAACCCTCGCATGTGTGCGGCGTTTGCCAGCTTCTAATGTGTAGGGGGGGGTCGGTTGGACCCCCCCCCTTGCCGTTTGGCCCCTGATCGAGCTAGAGCTTCGCGGAAAAAACGAGCGTGTTGCCCGTGACGAGAGGAAGCTGATGATACCCAATTTTAAGGTCCTAGGTCATTGGTTGACCTTCCAGATCAGGTCAATGACCCAAAGTCGGGAAAATCGGGACCTATTAGAAAGTCGTAAAGTGTGGCGGCTAAGGGGTTTTTCGGGGTGCTGATCACGAATATCGTGTTAGTTTTGATCACAGATGATGTCTTTAAGCATTTAGACCAGGTCGGGTCGGGTCAGGTCAGGTCAACCAGTAGGGGTTGTGACGGGTATTCGTAGTACGTGTCAACCACCTCTGACAGCTTCGTAACATGTTACGAAGGCACCAAAACTACTTCGTAAATGTTCAAATGGTTGCTAAATTCGAATTCAGCTCCAAAAACTAGCCTAGAAATATGTAAAACTCGAAAAAGTGAACCGAGGTCACCCGAGGTCACAAAAGGTCAATGACCCGACCTGACCTTCAGGTGACCTTGACACCCATTCTAATGCATGGGAGCAACATCAAATCACATGTTTGAACGTTTGAAACCACGAAAAGCTTGCAAACGCGCGGCTAATGCGAGCCGACATACGCGGAATCGCGATTCCGGCCAAACATGGTCTCGGAAAAGAGGTCACAGGTCAAAGGTCATTTGGGTCAGGGTCATGAAATTTTCAGGGTAGGTGTAAAATTGATCAATGAGAGGGTACTGAAAGTTTCGTCGCGATCGGCCGCGTTTTACGCGAGTTATTCGCGAAAAACCATGGGGGGGGGTCCATCCGACCCCCCCCCCTACACATGCGAGGGTTAAGTAATTAGCCTCATAGTTTATTGTTCAAATGACCGACGACCGTATCTTGTTTCCTCAATACCTAACTTTATCCTCATTGTTGTAATCAGTATAGTAATGCCATACAAGTGATATAGGTATGCAATAAAATGTATGCAATGTTGTCTATACCTATCTGATCAAACCTACCTAGTTAAATCAAACCTAGTTATCCTAAATGAATTCTCAGTGATACCACCAGTGTGCCTGCCTATACATTGTCAGCTGGCTGATCAAGTTGCACCTTTTTTCAGGTTTTGAGCCAGTTGCATATTAACCTCACTGCCCGTGAGGAGGCTCTGGAGCATGTTGAATCCCTGATTCTGCAGTTGCTCATGGTTCTGGCTGGAAAGCCAATGCCACACACTGTGCAGGTATGCTTACATTTGAATGCATTCTCTAGCTGCAGCATTTTCTTCCATAATGACACTATCAATATAAAAAGTGAGGACATATATTTGATGTGTGTTTCAGACACCTAAGGCAACACCTGTAATAGAAAACTAAATATAACATACAATATTTCATGTAGGTCTTATATGCAATGTTAATAGTCTCTAATCCTAAATCATCAGAGCCTCATAATGTGAGCACACTGCTAGACACACTATCTAGGGATGATACACCAAACTTATTTGAATGTTAAATGTGTATTTCAACATGCTGATCTCCCTCTAGGATGTGGAAGACAAAGTTGAGAAAACATTCCCAAACCCAATCAACAAGTGGGCAATAAAAGAGGCCCGTGGTGTACTGGAGAAGGGGAAGAAGAAATCAGTTGAATTGCCAGTGGAAAAAGTTCACAACCTCCTAGTTAAGGTAAATAAAAAGACCCAAGTGCTTTGAGCTCTTTGATCTGAATGTGCATTGTATTTGTAGTTCACTGCTTTAGATGGTGTCTCAATTAGGTAAGGTTGACATTCAGACTTGTTAGAACAATCATATTCCAAATATTCTCTTCATTGCTGAATGAAAGTAAAGGTGATTGTCCTAAACCTGACAAAGTATTCTCATGAGTCATGATAGTTTTCATTATCCATAAATTTTTAGACTAGACTTTTATTACATCCTGATTTGTCATGTTCTGGTTTGACATATTTTGTGTTTGTGTTTCAGGAGGTGTTTCAGCATAAAATCGATTTTCAAGTGTCATTGTACATTGTGGCTGTTCTGGAGTATATTGCTGCTGATATCCTCAATGTAAGTTGTAGTTAGTGTTTTCATTTTATTTGTTTTATTACTGTCAAATGTCCCATGCTCATTCACGAGCTAAACTAGACCAGGTGCTGATGACATATCAACTCCCTTTTATTATTTATATTGAAGGGCACACTGATTTTCGTGGCTGTTGATAGTGTGATATTCAAAGTGCCCAACTTTCTCTAATAAAACCTTTTTTCATTTTTACTTGTTAATTCTTGAAAGCATAATTATTTACATGAAGTAGGTAATTCCATTCTCTGTAATTTGGTTAGTTGCTAGGATGAAGGGTGTTCCAGATGTGTTATGGTAGAATAAGATGATATACAATCTCAGGTAAATTCTTGCATGAATGTAAGTTGGCAGTAGCTTCTGGTTAGTTAACTTGTAATCAATGTAGCAACCATTCTGAATTCCACATAGTCTGCAATCGTCCACCTCCTTATTTTGTGTGATTTTTTACACTCCTTATGAAATCCAGGCTGAGTTCCTTCTAATCCTATCCAAAGAGATTCTCGAGATAGCGATCACACCATCCTGTGATAATTTGGACGTCATACTCCTTATTCCCTTGCTTGAAGTACTAATCCTGGTGAGAAATAGGATAAGGTGATTGTTATGGGGTTTAGTTACTGTCAAAGATACATATAGTAGTCTTCTTCATTATCAGTACATGAGAGATCTTCTTAAAATGTGATTGTTTTCATTTCTAAGAGACATTTTAAAGCATTTTAACTTTGATGCAAATCAATTAAACATTTTCCTTTTCATTTTTGATTATTTTTCTCCAGCCTTTTCAATATGTGTTCTGTATTCACAAGGGGTGAAATATTGCTATTTTTATTGTGATCAGCTTCACATTAAATGTTAAAAGCATGTTAGTATGCCACCTTTTAGGAGCGTACGTGATCAGAATTCGGGAATGCAGTCTCGTGAGCAGTCTTCCTACTAGCTGAGCACAATGCACTGGTGCATCCCATAGCACGCTGACCAGTCGGTATGTCTGCCTACGCTCGTGGGCCGTTTGATCTAACCTTGCGCCTGTGCGCATCCGTTTCAGCTGGCGGGCAAATACAAGAAGAACATCCACCATGTGGAGCACCACGCCATCACGACGCAGGACATCAAGACGGCGATATCGGCCGATCAGGTGGGTCGGCGTGCTGACCGCCGCGGAGGGAGGGGCTCCTCCCCTGAGAGTTCCTCCCAAGACAAGCTCCTCTCCTGACTTGTGCGGGCCCACCTCTTCTGCTTCCGCTCCTGCTCCCGGTCGGTCGTTGTCGTTATGATGTTCCTCTTCCTCTCCTATTTGGGTTCCTATCCATCCGTTTTTTTCTCGATAAGCTCATCCTTTCACTCCCTCCTGATTTTTTTTTTGCCACTTGTGTACGGCGATGGCAAGCGTGAATCGGTGAATCTGGCAACCATGAGTGCAAGCCCTCAAACCAAAACAACGCTTTCATTCCGTTTCCCGTCCCTTCCCACCTTGGACACTCTCCTCAGATCCTCCGCTGTCACACGACCAGCGTTGCTTCTGCCGGGCTGTCAATGTATGCACTGTGCGGATGTAGTGCGGATGCTCGCCCCGGTCGGGCAGAGCCCAGAAACGTGCCAGGGACGAGCTGACCCTGGTAGGGCTCAGCGCTGGGGACAGATAGTACGCTGCTTGGCTGCTCCGCCGCCGTCAGGACCGCTGTGCACTGTCGCACTTGTTGAGGCGAGAAGCTGTGGCTGGCTGGGTGTGGGGTTGGGTGGCAGGGGCTACTGTGTTGTTTGATTGTGTCTGGTGTGACCAGGGCCTCTTTTCATGAAGTGAGTCCGTAACTTACGCCGGTGTTTGGTCTTGTATTGCAAGTGCATGTTCAAACTATCGTCATCGCTTCACATGCAATTGCAATGCAAGACCAAAAACCGGCGTAAGTTACGGACTCGCTTTATGAAACGAGGCCCAGGATTGTGTGAGATAGCTGGTAAAATAACCCAGTTTTTGTCAAAAGAGACGACCTTTTTGCTGTATCTAAGACAAAGCAATCGGGCAAAATTTGGGTTGTGATAGGCAGATAGGGTGCTTACGAATGCAAGAATGTGTCGTTTCTATCCAAATCTTTGTATTCCTACGTCGTATTCTTCAGCGATAAAAATGGATAATTTGTACATATTTTCTTAATAGGAGTACATTGTTTTCTAGAACAACTCTGAGGGTGATTTTGCCAGGTGTAACGACAGGGCGTCGTCCGCAATGTGTGCACATATGTACATGTGTAGGCGTGCGTGGCTGCTGTAGCGGCTGGCGTGGATAGTCGCCGCGGCTGACAGTGCGCGTCTGTGTGTCTGTCTGTCTGTCCGTCACCGCCGCACGCGCTCGCAGAACTGGATAGTGCTGACCAAGGTAACGTGCTGAGTGCCGCATGGCTGCTACACTGCCCCTGACGGCACCGCCGCTCCAGCTGACGGCTGCCGCTGCTGCCTGCTGCTCCGCTTCCCTTCCACACTGCACTGTGGTGCACGCCGCACAGTTTACTGCTGGCTCGTGCATATTCCCTCTGTACTACGTAGATTCCTCCGCATTTAGGAACCCACTCAATGCACCATCTTATGTCTTGTGTACCCGTACTTGGAGTATGTCTTGTCTGAATGACATTCCCAGTCTGAGGGCAGTGATCAGCCAAGAGGATATAGTACCTGACGCTGGTCAGACTGTTGAATTTTGTTAGTGTGGCTTAAAGCCTCAGAAAACGCCTGGCAAAACAGTAGCGCTGTCGGAGAGCCTTGTGCTTCTCGTCAGCTCCGCCCCAGTCCCCTCTTGCATGACCTATCGCTCACAGTCACCCCATATCGGTCTATTAGGCCGTATCGGGGCGATGCTTTGCACGGCATGAGGAACCACCCGTCCCGTCTTCCTGAGTCACTGCTGGAGTCCTTTGTGCTGACCGCAGTTAACATGGGATATCGGAGAGCCATCTCTGGCGGGGGCGGCACTCGGCTGGTATTGGGGCGGCCTTTGTTGCCACAGTGTCCGAAATAGGCGGGAAGTGGCGTCTAGACAGACAGTTTTATATACTCGTGCTGGATGGTAACTGAGAGGCATGGCACAGTGCGACTGCAGCTGTGGCAAATTAGAAAAAATGTCTGGTCCGCTAATTTTTTAGATATTTGTATTCCCTTGGAAATTAATGCTTCTATAGCTATTTTCCAAAAATATTGCGATCCAGAATGCATAATTGTGTATCGTCTTGTCTAGTTCAAGACCAGCTCATCAGCAACCAATAGGTAGCGAATGTAACACAATGTGGGAAACGGTTAGGGCTTTGAGACACTACAAATAAAAACAAATAAATAATATATTCAGGCTTTAATGGCAAAAGGGTCATCTGGCAGCGTGCCAACGGCGAAAACGATATGGTAAGGCAAAGTTGTTTGGGTGAACAATTGGTGGTAGGAACGGACAAATAAAACAGCGGCATAGCGGAGAAATGCGGACCGTAGATAGAAGTAGTAGCAGTGTAGCAACGTAGAATGTAGAATGTAGATTGTAGTATGTAGGTTTCAAAGTTTTTCCACCGAATCACATTGTGGCGAACGGCGGCGCACAAACTCCATGCGTTTCACGCCGGCGCCACACAGCCAAAAAACGCCACGTCGATGGGCGGCGCACTGGACTTTCTGCGCCACCACTGGCTTAGGGTGGCGCCACCATCCAATGGTCAGTAGGGACATCGTCGCCACCTGTGTCCACAACTAGCGCCACCTGTCGAGCAAGGCACAGGCCAACCCGCTCCGGCTCAGTCCGCTACATCCTCCCCCCGGTGTCGTAATGACACCTCGTTGAGCGGGGATAACGGAAGCCTGAACACAAAACCTCTTCGGTACGTTGCCCACTCAACAGCCACAGCCGCGCGCACACATATACAGCGTTCATCCTGAAGACACCACGCCTCGCATGGTATCGGCTTCGCTGCCGAAGTCACAGCTCCGGAGAGCAGCAGTCATCTCCGCCGCCCACTGCCACCAGCTCCGTGCGGCAGGCGAGCTCCCGCAGTACCAGCTCCGGAGAACCACCGGCTCGCCGCAGCCTCGGAGAGCACCAGCTCGCCGCGGCCGACGAGCGCCTCCACCACAGCTCCAGAGAACACCAGCTCGCCGCGGCCTCGGAGAGCACCAGCTCGCCGCAGCCGACGAGCGCACCAGCTCGCCGCAGCCTCGGAGAGCACCAGCTCGCCGCAGCCTCGGAGAGCACCAGCTCGCCGCAGCCTCGGAGAGCACCAGCTCGCCGCAGCCGGCGAGCGTCTCCGCCACAGCTCCGGAGAACACCAGCCCGCCGCGGCCGATGAGCGTCCCCGGACGCATCTTCGGAGGACTCCAGCTCGCCTCAGCCGACGAGCACCTCTGCCGCAGCTAGCCGCCATCAGGAGGGATCTGTTAGGAAGAAACAAAAGGAAAACATAGGATACTTGGGATATACGTGATAGGACAACACTGTCGTCACCAACATAACAGCCATCCTTCAACACAGTTCTGACACAGAACAGTTCTGAGCTTATTCAGCCTCCTCCAGGAGGCACACTTTGCTGACCGGGCGCCGGTACTTGCCTCCCCCCGCTGCCATCAGTTCCACGGTACGAACTACTCCGTCCGAGCCCGGGAACACTCTTGTAACCCGGGCCAGGGGCCAGAACCCGCGTGGCGAGTCTGCCTCAATCATCAGCACGACGTCTTCAACTTTGAGATTTCTTCTCTCGCGCAACCACTTCTGCCGACTGGCTAGTGTTGGTACATATTCATTTCGCCATCTCTTCCAAAAATGTTCTGCCAGTACTTGTGACTGACGCCAACGTCGTTTGCTGCTGATCTCTCTGTCTTGAAATATGCCAGGAGACATGTTGGCGCTGGCACACCCGAGCAGAAGGTGATTTGGCGTCAGTGGCTCAACATCCGTACTGTCAGGACTGACGTGTGTCAGCGGCCGTCCATTGATCATTGACTCCACCTCGAGCAGAGCAGTGTGGAGTACTTCATCGGTCACACACTGAGATCCGATAGTTACTCTGAGCGCGCGCTTTACGCTGCCCACCAGCCTTTCCCATACGCCGCCCATGTGGCTGGCGCTGGGAGGCATGAAAGTCCACTTAATGTTCTCCTGACTCAGTTCGTCAGTAATGCGAGTTTGGTCGAGTTCATGTAGAGACTCACGGAGCTCACGTTCACCTCCGACGAGGTTCGTCCCATTGTCGGAGTACATTGAGTCTGGCTTCCCTCTCCTTGCCATGAATCTCCTCAGTGCCATGACGAAACTGTCCGTATCTAAAGCGTTTGCTACCTCCAGGTGTACTGCGCGGGTCGAGAAGCAGGTGAACAAGACGCCGTATCTCTTCTCGGTCCTCCTGTACTTCTTCACGAACATTGGCCCGAAGTAGTCGACTCCTACCGTGCTGAAGGCTCTGGACGTGTCATACCGGCTGGCCGGCAGCTCTGCCATTCTTGGGACCTGCGCGATCGCTCTTCGTCTTTTGCACACGGTACACTTGTGTAGGATCCTCTGGACTGTCGAGCGGGCCTTCAGAATCCAATATGTCTTCCTGACTTCTGTCAACGTTCTTTCTTGTCCTGAGTGAAGAACCTTCACATGGCAGTGCGTCACTACCAGGCGAGTAACGTCGTCTCTCGATGGCAGGATCACCGGGTGGCGAGTCGAATAGGTCACAGGCGCTTTGTCGATACGCCCACCGACTCTCATCACACCCTCACTCAGAGGAGTGTTGCCACACTTGGCAGCCGCATCAAACACTACTCTGAGCTTCCCGGGCTTCCGGGGGTTCGTTACACCATGATGTGGCAGGTACCACTTCCTGCGGTGTGCTTCTTGATCTTCTTCTGGGGTTGGCTTGCGAGCGAATCCGCGCTCGACGTAACCCTCGACAACCTTCTTACAAGCTTCCGCTTTCTCAGATTGTCGCATTAGGGTCTTCTCCAGGGAGTACAGCCGGTTGGCCGCCATCATCTTGTTATCAGGTAGGCACACATCATCACTCATCCACAGGAGTCCCGTCTCGTAGCGATTGTCCAGTCTCCTGGTTGTGTCTTCCATGATCTTCACGGCTCTGACGTCTTGGGGAGATTTGGCATCCTGGCCTTCAAACCTGCTCCCAAACGATTCCGTGCTCCACCACTCCCGGAGTGCTGCTGACAGTTGATCGTCTGGAGCCATCTTCCTGATCAGCATCACCTGGCGCGTTCGTTCTGGCAGGAATCCCTTCACCGTGCCCGTCAGCGTCCACCCGAAGGCGGTTCTGATGGCCACCGGTTGGCCCGCCTTCCCTGTCCTCGCTTCCAGCTGAAGCACCGCTTCAAGGACGTTGGCGCCGAGAAGAAGATCGACCCTCTTCCCTGAGCAGTCTGGAAGGTCGAGGTCCAGCAGGTGCTTCCATTCGATCCTCTTGTCAAGGAGCTCTGGAACCGTGACGTTGATGTCCCTGACGGAGAAAACTTCAGGGACCACTATTCTTGATCCGTCGCCACCTGACGCCTTGAGCTCCAGTTTCATCTTCACGGAGTTCTGGAGGCGCCCGCATCCTTCCACGTTTTGCAGGCGGAGGGTTTGTGGCTCCCCTTGAAGATTCAGCTGTGTCATTACCTCTTCGGACACCAGTGAAGTCTGAGAACCAGGGTCTAGTAGAGCCCAAACCTGCTTTTCCTTGCCACCACTGGCAAGGACGGTGACTGGTACGACCTGCAGCAGGGTTGTGGTCGCGCCCGCCTTCACTGATGCTGCTGCTACCACGCGCTGGCCAGTGTTCCTGAGGTCGACCCTCTTGCTGCCATGGAGCACCTGATGATGTCTCATCTTGCAGCTGTCGATGCCGCACGGCCTTGCCGAGCGACAGTGCCGAACGCCATGTCCAGCCTTCAGACAGAAGAAACAGCACCTCGCACTGGCGATGAAGTGGGCTCTTTCATCAACCGATTTCTTCAAGAAAATCGGACACGTTGTCACCTCATGCTGCTCCTTGCAGCATACACAAGTCGTGCCTGATGTATCAATCTCTGTGGCCAGAGCACTTCTTTGGACGGGCCTCAGCTTCACGTCGCCCTTCCACCGCTGAGGCTGTCCTGCCGGCTTCTTGCCAGTCGCCATATTCTGCTGTGAAGACACGGCAGCGTAATTGAGGGCCACCCTGACCTGCCTGCGAAGCCATTCGTCAAAGTGCACCAGTGTCGGCCTCTCTCCCAGGTTCAAGACATATTCTCCCCATAGACGTTTCATCTCAGATGGGAGCCTTTGAACAACTCGTCTGAGGTTCTCGAAACTATTCAGATCCCCATCGTAGCCGAGACTCCTGAATATCATGACAGCACAGTGGACTGATGCGTGCAGGCGCTCTAGTCCAACAGGATCTAGCTGGGAGGGCGCAGGGCAGGAGAAGATCTCTTGCAGGTACGCGTGTACGACATCTTCCTGGCGGCCAAACCTGTCCTGCAGAGCATGCACCGCCTCTTCATATAGGGCCCCATCAAACATCATCCCACTGATGGTGAGCTTAGCAGTACCCACCACTGATGCTTGCAGGTGTATCAGTTTTTCTGTTGGGGAGAGTGAGATCTGTTCATGTACTAAAACTTTAACCCGCGCCCTGCTGGGGGGGGGGTGTTTGAACATCCCCCCTTGTGGTTTTTCGCGAATATCTCAAAAACGGCGGCGCGGAGCGCCGCCGTTTTTGGTACACCTTATCATACATCAATTCTACACATTTTGTGAAAATTTCAGACCAAGGTCATTCAAGGTCAGGTCACCAGGTCACTTGAAGTGACCTCACCTCATAAAAAGTTTCAATGTCTGTCATAGCTACACCGAGTGACCGATCGCTTTGAAACTTTCAGCGATTGCTAAGAGCAATAGCATGTACAAAATGTATATCTCAGAATTTTGATATCGATGACCTAAGGTCAGGTCAATTTTGCGACCTCCCCATTATAAGTCAATGGGAGAAAATTGAAATGCGCCTCCTTTGGATGAAAGACATTATAAACACTCCCAAACACTGAATTACAAGTGGTTTAGACACACTGAACATGAAAATGGTGTCCGTGACCCCTGTTTATGCCCTGAGGTCATCTTAGGTCACGAATGGTATCTAACAGTTTTTTGCAAATAACTGTTGATAGAGGCATGCTAGAGCGATGAAAACGCCTTAGATGTGTTCAGCTCGACGATACGGACCGACTGATATGCAACATGACCCTTTCCGGTCAGGTCATGACCTTGACCTGAGGTCAAATTTTCAAGTTGACCTTTCAAGGTCAAATTATAGTTCATTCGATGCGTCTTGACGAGAGGAACACGATGCCGGTAAAAGTAAGCTCATACAATGCTTGGGTTAAAAGTTATTGCAGAAAAACTGTTTCCGAAAAAATCGGCTATTTTTGCAGTTTTTGCCCCCTGCAGGCAAAACCGTTGACGTTAGGTCAAATCTGAGAGTATTACTCAGAAAGGGCGTTAATAGGGCTATCGAATGCGCTTTTCCGCGGTGCTGTTAGCTGTAGCTTTATTGGTTTCCGAGTTATGCGTTGGCTTCTTGGAAATTTTCGACATTCGACCTGGAAATCGGCGAAATTTTGCCTTCAATGACCTCTGGTGACCTGACCTTTGACCTGACCAAAAAATTGACTGAAGTGATTTCCTCATTATTTTTGACGCTCTTTCGAACGCCGCCTTCCGCGTATCGCTACGTGGCCCAGGAGCCAAGTTAGAAGGGGGGGGGGGGTGTTCAAACACCCCCCCCCCAGCAGGGCGTGGAAATCCAGGACCCCCAGCCGGGCGCGGGTTAAAAGAAGCCCACCACTTCGGCCACTCGGCCGGCTCGCCGCCGAACTTCGGCAGAGTCAAGCGTGGAAGACTATTGTGCAGCAGCGACGGAACACAGGGCGCCCCTTGGGCGACTGCATCACTGGCTGTGGGTCGAAACTGACCGGCTAGTTCAGTAGTGGGTGCCCCTCGGGCAGCTCCAACAGCCGGTGGGGGAACATGACTGTAATAGAACAAATCAGCTGTGTCGGCGCCGAGTGCCCCTTGGGCAGCTCCAACGGCCGGTGAGATGGTGTGGCTGGGACGTGACGAACCGGCTTCTTCAACAGTGGCTACCCCTTGGACAGCTCCAACGGCCGGTGAGATGGTGTGGCTGGGACGAGACGGACCGGCTACTTCAACAGTGGCTGCCCCTTGGACAGCTCGTGCAGCTGGTGGGATGGCTCGGCTGAGATGAGTCGAGCCAGCTTCTTCACTAGGTGCCCCTTGGGCTTCACAGACCTTGGTCTCACCACAGAAATCATTTCTTCGGTCCCACGCTAGGTCATCTTCAGCTGCTCTTGCCAACTGTGCACGCAGCTCGGCGGCTGCATGAGCATCCTTTGCTTCTTGTAGCTTCATCTTCCTCTGGATCTGTTGCTCTTCCTTCTCCGTCTCAAGCCTTTGCTGCAGCTGCTCCAGCTCTAGCTGCTTCACCTTGGCCTCTATCTCTGCCAGCCGGGATGCTGACGTCTTGTCCGATGCTGCAGAGTCTGACGCCTGCTTTGATGTAACTGATGGTGGATCATCCTTCCTCTCCTTCAAATGCACTTCAATCCGGGTTACCGCTTCTTCATGCTGCCTGTCTGCTTCTGCTTGATACACTCTTGCCTGATCAACTTCCTCTTGAGATGTCAGCACAGAAACTAAACTATCTGTCATCTCCTCCAACTGCTCGAGTGCCTGATCAAGCTCATGGACGATTGAAGCTAGCTGAGTCCGACTACCTCTGGTATCAATCAAGACGAAAGCCCTCCTCCTGACCCTGGTCAGTGCAGCCAACAATCTGCCTCGCTTCTGTTTCAATTGTGCTACAGACATGTTCTGGATTTAACAGCACAACACCAATCAGGAACTGAGTCACAATTGCAATTCTCAGCAGCAAGTACAAAACTTCTCGCCACAAGAAACTGTCATTTACACGACCTACACCCTGAGAAGCCTCTTCGGGCGATCAAGACAGAATCTTCAAATGAGATACACTCATAACAACAGCATCATGTTCGGAAAGTCCTTTGGCATTCTGACAAACTCTTGCATAGACCTACAACCATATCACTAGGCTGTGGAAACTTTGAAACTGTTGTGGGAAACGGTTAGGGCTTTGAGACACTACAAATAAAAACAAATAAATAATATATTCAGGCTTTCATGGCAAAAGGGTCATCTGGCAGCGTGCCAACGGCGAAAACGATATGGTAAGGCAAAGTTGTTTGGGTGAACAATTGGTGGTAGGAACGGACAAATAAGACAGCGGCATAGCGGAGAAATGCGGACCGTAGATAGAAGTAGTAGCAGTGTAGCAACGTAGAATGTAGAATGTAGATTGTAGTATGTAGGTTTCAAAGTTTTTCCACCGAATCACATTGTGGCGAACGGCGGCGCACAAACTCCATGCGTTTCACGCCGGCGCCACACAGCCAAAAAACGCCACGTCGATGGGCGGCGCACTGGACTTTCTGCATATAGGGCCTTGCTTTCTGCGCCACCACTGGCTTAGGGTGGCGCCACCATCCAATGGTCAGTAGGGACATCGTCGCCACCTGTGTCCACAACTAGCGCCACCTGTCTAGCAAGGCACAGGCCAACCCGCTCCGGCTCAGTCCGCTACAACAATCTCACCGATTCCCGTTGAGTATGGATCTCAGCGCATCTCTTTCGGTAGGAAATGCTCCTACAAAATATTGTAAAATAACATGGTCAGCTAAGCGTCCGTCGATACATCTTAAAATAATGTCGCAAGATCATCTTGCGACATGATTTTTCATAGGACGTAGCTGGGTATGCGCTTTCCAGATTTTTTCATTCTTCTGACTTGACGCGGGTCGTCTCCGTCTTCTTTGCTGTGACACCACGACCCACTGATCCACCTACTAGCAGCACTTCTGATAAACTTGCCTTAGCCCAGTTTGACATATCGGTCTGTCGCGCCCCCATGTCTGCCTTCCACACGTCTGTCATACCCGTGTCGTCCGCGCCCCCACGTCTGCCTTCCCACAGCTGTTACACCTTCACTTTTTCCATACTTGTCTTAGCCACGCCCCCGCTGTCCTGCCGTGGTGCCTCTCACTGCCCCACCTAACCCGACATAGTGTCTGACCGTGTACCGTATGTCATGCCTCGCCTTTGTATCTATCCCCTACCCTTCCGTCAGGTGTCTGTCTGTCATGGTTGTGTCTGACCCATGAAGTCTGTCACACCCCATCTGTTATGCCCGTCAGTCACGCCCCATCTGTCACGCCCTCCCACGTCTGACACGCCGCTCCCCGCCGCCGTCCGTCAGGTGCTCATGGACATGTTCGAGCAAGACGACGACGTATCCGCCTTCTCCGCCATCGAGGACGAGCCGGTCACGGCTATCAACTACGACGAGGCCGTCAAAGAGATCATCCTCGAGGAGAAGCAGTACATGCGCGACCTGAACCTCATCCTGAAGGTGTTCAAGGTGCAGATCGAGCGCACCAACCAGACCACCCCGCGCGACATGGAGCTCATCTTCAGCAACCTGTCTGACGTGTACGAGTGCACTGCCACCGTGCTGGGTCAGCTGGAGGACACGCTGGAGATGACCGATGATGGCTGGCACCTGAGCGTCGGAAGCTGCTTCGAGGAGCTGGCGGAGGTGAGTGGAGCAATTGGTGGTCGGTAGGCTATTAGAGTTGATTTGAGAGTGTTTGAGGGTGTTGTCTAGCTGCAGTCTGGCTTGGGATCTTGATAGCCCCCGCTCTGTGGCATCTTCTTTAGGTCCTTTTTGATTTACACGAGCAGCTGGAATATCGTTCAGCTCATTACCACCACGAGGGTGTTCACATATCGCTACATCCTACCCAGTCGGATATCCGTGCCACGGCAAAACCCTGACGTGTACAAGAAGAAAGCGTGCGACTGTGTTTATCAACCCCACCTGCCCGTTCCTTGCCGTTACAGGACTCGGAATCTGACATATATAAAAGAACGCACAACCCTTTTTTTCATAACCTCACCATCCCAGTTTCTTGCCTGTCCTGTACCGCTGCAAAAATCGGAGTTTGACCTGTACGAGAGGAGAGAAGCTGGTGTGTTATAACCACCACCCGCCCCGTTCCCTGCCTGCCTCAGGACTCAGAGTTTGACGTGTACGAGAAGTACACGACAGACGTGCTGGAGCCGCAGTGTCGAGAGCACCTGTCCTCGCTGCTGGAGCAGACGGAGATCTACAACCGCCTGGGCACGGCCGGACACGGGTTCCGCGAGGCGGTCAAGTACGTGCTGCCCAAGCTGCTGCTGCTGCCCGTCGCGCACGTGCTCAAGTACTTCGATAATATCAAGGTGAGAACTGGATGCTCCTTGTGGTATGTGGTCAATTGGGGAGAAATGTGCATTGGTAATGGTTGTGATTTAGGTTTCAGTGTTGGTAAAGGCTTGCCGGACTTTTGAGGTGCATCTTACATTGAACTCTGCTCAGGGTCAGTCCTTATATGCTCTTAGCCAAAAGTGCAGACACCGAATCACAGCCCGCGCGTTTTTTTGCAGAGCAACCTTATGCAAGAAAACCCGCTACCTCAACTGTCCACATCGTCTGTCTCCGTATCCCATCTAACCTCGTTCTGCCTCTTCCCGCAGATGCTGTGCCACCTGGCGCAGACGGAGGACGACCGCGAGGTGCTGGAGCAGGCGCAGGGGATGCTGAAACCGCTGCAGACTCAGCTGGAGCGCATCGTCTCCAACAGCGGCGTCACGGTGCTGCCGCGCCGCAAGGCCGGCGACCCCCCGGCGCGCAACAATCGCTCCCTGCGCCAGGCGAGCCTGCAGAAGATGAACGAGGTGCAGCGCTCCATTGACGGCTGGGAGGGCAAGGACATCAGCCAGTGCGGCTGCAGCGAGTTCGTGAAAGGTGCGGAACGGGCGAATGAATGGGGTCATGGAGGGGTCGAGCTGTGGCGGTGATTGTGGGGCGGTAATGGTGGGACTGGGTGGTGAATGGTATGGTAGGGGCCGTTAGAAGGGGACTGTCAAATCAGGTGTCTTGTGCTCAACTGCAGTTGAGTCGCTGACATATACGTAAAGCACTACGCACCATCTGATGTTGTTGTGGTCTTTTCAATTTTGGCTCACTTATTTTTAATTTTTATTACTTACACACACACACACGCACACACACAAAACGCAGAGCTGCGCTAACTGGCCTCTCCGCCAACCACACTACCAGGCAGATACCCCAGCGTATGACCTGATTCTGACGTACTCACTGTGTCTTCCCGCTCGAACTGCCTATGACCTGACCCTGCGGCCCTTCTCTGCCCACAGAGGGTGTTCTGGGTAAGGTAGGCAGCGGCCGTAAGCTGACGGAGCGGCATGTCTTTCTGTTCGACGGTCTGATCGTGCTCTGCAAGCCCAACAGTCGACGCTCGTCAGTCACCGGCCCCGTGGCCGAGTTTCGGCTCAAGGAGAAGTTCCAGATCAGGAAGGTGGAAATCAAGGACCGCGAGGACAGCGATGGTAAGTGTTGGGGGCCGGGGAGCCGGACAGGGGCTAGGGTCAAATGCCAGTGACGTTTGTGCTTGATTGTAACTTACTAAATCGGACGTGTTCAGGGAGAAGACTCACCATTACCTTTTACGCAGGGAGTTGCCTGAATCCTCGCACACGGCAGGCTTCCCTGTCAATTTTCATAAACGTGCCACTTCCCGATGCATAAAGGTGGATGATTTTGCCTGCTTACGCATTATACAAGCATAAGGTTAACTTTTGCGAGCAGTCGTCCAACTTTTGGCATCGTTGCTGCTTGTGAGGCGGACACAGGTCAGCTCGCCAGCGCGTACTCTCCATATTCATACTCATCATCATATTCATCCCGCATATTCAGTATCCTGGTCCTGCGTTACTGTCGCCTGACTCCTTCCGCGTGGTGTAACCCGTGCTCGCGTGTTTTCCGGCAGATCTGCGGTTTACGTTTGAGATCGCGCCGCGGGAACAGAGCAGTGTGATTCTCTTCGCCAAAACGGCGCAAGACAAGAACGAGTGGATGGCCAGTCTCATCATGCTCAACACAAAAAGGTACGCCCGGTCGCTAAATGCTACCCTGCTGTTAATATACGTGTGCTATAATTGAGCAATAATGTGTGAATGCTGCTGTTTGTTTCTCACGTCATACATTGATGCAATTTTATATTACGTTAGTGTTACTATAGATGCGCAATGACACTGGGGCCTAACTTGCACCTCAGGGTATGTTGTCTAACTACTGATGTAGCCAACTTACGGGGTGTATAAATTTAAGATATGCAATCCAACGACAGTTCCCTTTCCGGCCTCCGTCTAACCTCAAACCCTCCCCGTGTGCTGTACAGCATGCTGGACCGCTCGCTGGACATGATCCTGCTGGACGAGGAGAAGAAGAACCCGCTGCGTCTGCCGGACCCGGAGCTGTACCCGTTCGCCGAGCCCGACAGCCCCGAGAACATCGTGCTCGAGCAGCCCGAGTCGGGCGGAGTGCCGCTCATCAAGGTGGGTTAGGGTTGAGGGAAAGGGAGAGTTAGGGAGGGAGGGGATGAGATGGGACCGGGGATGCTCTGACAGATGGACGGGACGGGGGTGGTTGACGAGACATAAACGCGCTGGTAATTCGTTGTACTGGTATAGAAGGGAAACGGTGGAATTGGAGAATAAAGAGGGAGGAGACGGCGTATGTGGGCACCGCCGGTGGTTTTGATGGTCATTGGTCGTGCATAAGGCTGGATTTTTCCCCCTCAAGAAGATCACCAACAGCCTGATGGGCGCGCTTACACAGAAGAATTCAAACGATTTGATTCCAAATTGTAATATCCAATGTTTGAACGGCGGCGCCGGCTTGAATGGTTAGTGGCTTGCACGTCTGATGCACGATGGTTATACATGACCCTATTTGTCGACAAAGTGATAAGTGCTGTGGCGTATGTGGGGTCTCAAGTGCGGTGAGTTGGCTGCTGCAGCACGGGCCACATGCTGGCCCGTTTCGGTACCCCGGCTAGGCGTGTATGGGCCCTGAGACGTGTAGTGAGTGGTCGCTGTATCACGGTCCCCATGCTGACCCGCCTCTCCGTATCCTTTGCAGGGCGCCACGCTGACGAAGCTGACGGAGCGTCTGACGTACCACATGTACGCCGACCCGATGTTCGTGCGCACCTTCCTTACCACATTCCGCAGCTTCTGCACCGCACAGGTGGGTCAAACGATCATCTGGTGGGGGGTGAAGGGGAATTAAGGCCGGGCTCCACTACGCGTTTTTTCCGTGCGTTTTATCCGAGACATCGGTTTTTGCGTGAAATCGTTCCCGAAAAAAAGTTCGCATCATTGCTCAACATTGGGCAAGCTACACTGGGAACGATGTCACGCAAAACACGACAACTTGCAAATTCCGTACCGATTTTAAGGAAATCTCGGTAAAACGCATGACGATGTCACGCAAACTCGGAAATCTCGTACCTATAAAAAGTTCAATTATTTGAACTTTTCATCGTTTTTTGCGTGATCTCGGCCGGGAGACATGACTTGTGCGCTGCGGCAAACAATGTGAATGTACTTTTGTGTTTGTTTTTGACGTCGTTAAATATGTTTTTAATTCTTGTGTTGAAGCTAGGAAATTTTTGTAGAAGTTTTTTAGTGTAAAGAGGATGAGTGAAGGTAACATAGCAACCCTACATATTTCATTTTGCGCTTAAAGCAGTGTCAATGCAGGGGAAAATGGTTTTAATTCAAATAGAAATTGGCGGAGTGGTGATAGATGAGTGGTCGGTAGAATGATGTGCACAGTGCACACGCGCTTTATGTAAAAGTGGATTATTTCGGCACAAATAGGCGCCCAACTTTCATGGTAAGTGATGCAGAAATTTCAGCTCAAAATTGCTTGTGTCGAGTTTCGGCGCATGAAGGTCTCACGAGCGTCCAGCTAGTATATGGATGTTTTCCAGTCGGGTGCATTGCCATAGGTAGGCGGAATGTTAAGAATAAAAAATCCCTTGCCCTCTTCAGCCACCAGTGGCTAGCTATGAAACAAGTTATGTATTTAAGCAAGTTTATCATAGGTGCAAGGCTAGCAACATGTGCAAGACACTATTTTATAAAAGTTTGGCTTACTTTTTATTAAATGTTCCTACTTGCAAAACACCTTCTTTATAGGCTCAAAATAAACAAAGTGTGATTTTCCGCGTAGTGGAGCCTGGGTTTAATGACAACAATAATGTCACGTGCTTCAGGATGACAAGCAAAAAACGATATCACGCAAAAACCGACAAATTGCAAAACCGATTTCACGCAAAAACCGATGTCTCGGATAAAACGCGCGTAAAAAAAACGCGTAGTGGAGCCCGGCCTTTAGGGTTTATTAACTGGTAGTTTAGCTTTGTTTTCAGTTCGGCATTTACATTGTTTGCTATACGTTTGTCTATGTATTTATTTGGACCACATTTCAAGGTATCTTTGTCCCTTTGAAAAGGCTTTGAACGCTTTGAATACGTTGTGTCGTGCTACCAAGCTTTGTCTTCCAATATATGCATGCGATAACTTTGTCGACCGTTAACTGTCCCGCTGCTCGAGCTGCTAACCCTGTGCTCGTCCTGCCGCAGGAGCTGCTGACGCTGCTGCTGAAGCGCTACAACATCCCGGAGCCGGCAGCGCTGGCCGACCAGTCGCCCACACCGACCGGACTCGACACCAAGGCCGTCAAGGCCACACTGCGCGACGACAACAAACGCTTCCGAAAGGAGTACAGCCAGCCCGTCAAGTTCAGGTGAGTGACGGCGACAATCTGGACTCGTACAGGCGACGTTCAGGTGGCTGTGCAGTGACATACAAATTTGTGGGTCTCTTGTGGTAAATATCGCTATGGCTTCTATTCGATATGAGGCCATCGGTTGGTTTGTAGGATTGCTGAAGCTCATTCACATAACGTTTATAAGGTTAATTATGCTTGTGCTGAAGTTGTGTGAACACTTAACACATCAAAGTACAACCAACCCTCAAGATGTATTTTCGATCGCGAGCCCTAAACTGCCTTCCGCCCTTGTATCGATCATCAGTCTCTAACCGTTGGCCGACTCCGTTCAGGGTGTTAAACGTGTTGAGACACTGGGTGGACCACCACTTTTACGACTTTGAGCGCGATCAGAAGCTGCTGCTGCGGCTGGAGAGCTTCCTCACGGAGATCCGGGGCAAGGTGATGCGCAAGTGGGCAGAGAGCATCACCAAGATCATCCAGAGGAAGGTGAGAGAGGCGGGGCCGAGAGAGGTGGGAACTGATGGCTTGTGAGGGGAGTTTCAGTCGCCGATTGGTGCTGCTACGGCAAAGGACGTTTTTATGAATATGTGCTTGCCCTGGAAATCCGTGTGCATGCATCGATAATGCTGACTTTTTCATAGCTGCACCATGCTGTGAAATAATGTGTTGAATGAGCGGGCCTATAAAATGGGCCGGATTCATCGTATATTTCGTTTTCTACGCGTTCGTTATCTATCTATAGAAGAAATAAGTATGTTTTGTTTTTATTGGGAGGTTAATAACTATCAGCATCGTCTCACCATATTGTCCACTGATCATCGTATTAACTGCTTACCCTGGCCGTTACCTATTCGCCCCCCACCGTACCCGAGCATTTCCCTCTGGTATGTGCACCGTCACTGAGTACCTCCACCGTCCCGCTCGTCCCGCAGAAAAAGCGTGATGAGCTGAAGCCGGAGGTGGTGTTTGGTGTGGACCGGTCGCCGCCGCCCACCGAGTGGCACGTCTACAAGAGTGAGGACGACTGGAAACACCCGCCGGTACGAACTGGGAGGGGGACAATGGGTGGTAGACATAGACATAGATTTTGGCATTCCGAACGGTGGGGGTGGGTGGTAGCCGGTGGGTGGGTGTGGATGGGATGAGGGGGTTTGGATGATGAGGGTGGTGAGGATTTGCCGATGGTGCCAACGAGTGTTGTTACTGGATGTGGTTTCTTTGGTTTGCTGCCGAATATATGGTGTGTCTTTTGGGATGATTGTGAGCGGGATTGTGTACAAAAAGCAAAGCCACTGCTTATGTTGCTTTCTCACTCGGGGCTTGAAATTTAAGGCGAAGTGATTGTTTGCTACGTGCGAGGGCTAACACAACTACTGTCCAGACTGTCAGTTTTCCTTCGATGTTGCTTTGTTAGGTTATCTTTTTACCAGAATTTGAGCATGATAAAACTCCCTCCCCGCTCCCGACAGGACGACTCTGGCGTGATGCTGCTGCTGCTGCTGCACCCGATCGAGGTGGCGCGCCAGCTGACCCTACTCGAGTTCGACCTGTACCGGGCCGTCAAACCGGCCGAGCTGGTCGGCTCAGTGTGGACCAAGGAGAACAAGCAGCAGGCGTCGCCCAACCTGCTCCGAATGATTCACCACAATACCAATGTAAGGATTGGCCTGGGACGTTGATGTTTGGGTAACGGCACAGCTAGAGCTTGGGGAATGGGAGGGAGGCCCGTCGCAGAGGTAGGGAAGGGTAGTTTGAGGAATTTGGAAGAAGCGCGCTGGATAGGACGTAATGGAGGATGACCGGTTCACTTTTTTAAAACTACATACACGCTTCATTATATTTGTTATTTTGTTTGTTTGCCCTGTATTCCGGTGCCTATTTGAGAAATAGTGACAAATAATGTCGCGAAAATTGGCATAATAACTCTTTAGCCTCGGAAGGAGGCTGGCGCGCTTCCTTCGTTCGGTCCCTCCGAAACACATGTAATTGTCCCTCGGCTCCCATCCCAGTCCTTCGCTCTAACATCCCCCCCCCCTCCCCCAGGTGACGCGGTGGCTGGAGAAGTGCGTGGTCGACACGGACAACATCGACGAGCGTCGCGCCGTCGTGTCGCGCATCATCGAGATCATGGTGGTGCTGCAGGAGCTCAACAACTTCAGCGGCGTGCTGGAGGTGGTGGCGGCACTCGACAGTGCCGCCGTACACCGGCTCACGCTCACATTCGAGGTGAGAGAGCGGGGAAGTCGAGGAGGGAGAGTGAGCTGACTGCGAGGGATGGAGGCAAGAGAAGTAAAGGAATGAGAGGGAATGAGAATAGAGAAAGGAAATGAAGGGAAGGAAGAAAGAAAGGGAGGGTGATGAAGGGCAGGGAAGGGAGAAAGGAATGGAATGACGGGATGTGGGAGCAAGGTCTTTTAGGATCGAACATTTTTCTAGCCAACCTCTTTATTCCTGGTGAGTCACCAACCGGTCGATTGGCAGAAGTAACAGCCGTAGGCATGTTGAATAACTCCTGCAACCGCGGCCTATATTCGCAATCATGACACGCCGGTTATGCCGCCATGTTCAGCTCTTCAGCCCACGGGGCCATTCATGGTTACCATATGAGCGCGCAACATCTTTGTAACCACCCTCTGCTCCCGCAGGAGATCGTTCCGAAGCTGGACCGGGCGCTGGAGGAGGCCCGCGAACTCTGCCACGACCACTACAAAAAGTACCAGGAGAAGCTGCGCTCCATCAACCCGCCCTGTGTGCCGTTCTTCGGTAAGTGGTGGGCACTTTTTATAGTTTATAGCTTTGACAGTGGCGTTTAGCGTGTTAGTTAGGACGATGACATTCATGACGGTGCATCATAATTCATCGGCCTTGCTGGATCGTCTAACGGCAGACTATGGACGGTCGATCTAAAGACCTAGGCCGATAGAGGTAAAATGCGTGACTCATCGCGACATTTTGGCCATTTGGAGGTTAACTCCATGTATTTCCATATACGACATTACCGACTACACATTGAAATTGCTCCACTGTTGAAAATGACGTGTATGTTTTCACTTACCACAGGCATGTACCTGACCAACATCCTGCACATCGACGAGGGAAACCCGGACTTTCTGCCCAAGTCGGATCGTCTGATCAACTTCAGCAAACGGCGGAAGGTGGCGGAGATTACGGGCGAGATTCAGCAGTACCAGAACCAGCCCTACTGCCTCAAACCCGTACCCAAAATCAGGGTCAGTAGGCTGTGGGAGGGGCAGGGGAGGAACGGGGACGGGCGCGGGTGTGATGATGGGGTTTGCTGAGTGTTTGGTGTGGCGTAGTTGGCAGGATATTCTGCCGTGAACGTCCTCACTCCTCAATGTTTTTTCGTTCGTCTCCTCGTCGGTATATGTTGGTACTTGGTTCTGAAGCTTGCATTTTGTGACAGTGAAGTTAGCTACTGGCCGCAGGCTGCTGGTCCCATGATTGATTTATGTACGGCTTTGTGAAATGCTTTGGCCATGACCATATCGTCAGCGCCTCATACATTTCTGTATTATCCATTCCTCCTCCTGTGTCTACCTCTGTCTCCATCTGACTGTCTCCGTGTTGTCGTCGGCAGAGCTTCCTGGAGTCGTTGCGGCCGTTCGAGGAGGGCAAGGAGACGGAGGAGATCAACAACTATCTGTACACCCGGTCCCTGACCATCGAGCCGCGCGGCTGCCGCGTGCCGCCCAAATTCGTGAGTGGATGAGCGGCAGAAAAGTCGTCCGGGTATCTAAAGGGAAGGGGAAGGATGTTGTCAGTTTGTTGGGGGTAGATGAGAGTAGTATCATGCGATACAGTCATATTGTCAATTTTTACGTACTCGACTGAACAGAGCTAACAAGTAGCACATCTTGTATTCGTGGATATTTGATTTTGGGTTCTTGCCGTTGGGTGTGTTTTCGATGTGCCTTGATTTGCTTAGCAAGCAGCTGCATCCGCCTTATTAGGCACAAGCTTTGCTCAACTTTTTTCGTAGCGAGGAAGCCCTCACGCAAAGCTGTTAAGCATCATCCAATACCATGGTAGGTTGACTTCAAAACACTCTGAGCCGTTGACGAATAGCTAAACATGGGAAACGCGCCGTCAGCTTTGTGCTGTATAAGTGTATATTCATGTTCAACTTGCTATGAGTTCATCCTGTTCATATGTTGATGTTAGCTGGTGCCTACTGAACCGCTAATTCCCAGTAATTTCGCGTAAGCGAACACGTTTTCGGTTCCCAGAAAGATCACCCTCGTGCTGTTTTTAGAATGTTACGGAAGCAAACAACTTCTTAAACGACTTTGGGAGATAATGCCACCGAGGTGCTTTTTGGACTCGATATCTCAGCACAGGAAGCTGCAGCTAGCAGTGCGGGTGTTCGCGCTTCCTTCGCACCTTGTTGAGCTGAGTCGACTGGCATACAAATCATGATTTCGATAAATTTGACACAAAGGGAGGGAGGGGAAAGAATATGCTATTGCTGTGAAAGATGCTATTGCTGCGAACCATCGACGTGACCAGTCATGTGACTACTCAGTGATAAGTTTCTCGACCTCGACACTGTAAACGTCAACACGGCTCTGTGTATTCCCTGAGGATTACTCAGCGTCGTGTATTTTCCACGGACTGTCTCAAAACACTGACATCACATTATGACATTTGGTGTACACTGCACTGCAGCTCTTTCAGTATCCCATGTCGCATCCGATAAGGACAGGTCATCCAATGGAGGCATCACCGGGTCTTGGTGGTACCTACGAGGCTCATCGATATGAAGTGGATCTATGTAGATAGCAGCCCACCTCTCGCTATCTCTGGCCTTGGTTCTCTGTTCCGTTTCCTTTTTCTAGCTCTCCACCAGCACAGTTTGATTTCTCCCTTCTTTTCGCGCCTGAGACCGTGTCCCAGTTTTTACTCCGACCTCCATCCCTCTCACCTGACCGTATCGTATCCCTCTTCCCTCCGCCTGTGCCATTGGGACATGGCAGCTTTAGCTATCCTCCAATTGATTTTGTCCATCTTCTCTCCACTTCGTCGCACTTCTCTGACCGTTCCATTCTCTCCCTTCCTCAACCATGCCACTGGGACGGCATTTCGCTGCCCGTCTCCCTCCCTCTCCCCTCTGACTCCTCCTCTCTCTTCCCCCACAGCCGCGGCAATGGGACGGCATCTCTCTCCGCTCGCCGGGCATCAAGGCGCGCCGCTCGAACGTGCCGCACCCGCTGCCTTCAATGCGCCACACGCCGTCCCGTATCGCCGAGGAGGCCAACAACAACAACCCGGAGACGCCGCGCGTGCTTACCCCGCCCACACCGTCGACTCCCTGCTCGCCGCCGCACACGGCCAACAGTGACAACAGCGTGTTCGCGCCGGTGGTGCTGGGCACCGCCAGCAGCAACTGCAGCTCAGGTGGGAAGAGGGGATGGGTGGGGAAGGGTTGAGGGGGGAGGCGATGGGAGAGAACGATTTGGGAAGGGCGAATCGTCTATAGAGGGCTAGGATGATTGAGAGAACGAGGAGTTGTAGTGCCGAGAGGGTGAGGAGGGGGGGGGGGTGGAGTGATGGGGACGTATGGTTTGGTGCGGAGGACTGGAGTTGAAGTTTTTTTTTTTGGCGCCGATGACTACTGTAGTCCGGGCGCCCAAAAACCCCAATTCATCATCGGAGTTGAAGTTAAAGTCAGGGGTTTGGAATGCCTGTGGTGTTAGGACGGATCTTGATATTTGTTAGAGATAAGGATATCCGATACCTGATATCTATCCAGTTGCTGGGAAGTCCGCATTGACCGCGTATTGTTCGCTAATGGGTAAGTTCGTGCAGGCGCGTAACCACCACTGGGGACACTGGGGACCGGTCCCCAGTAACTTTTGGGTTACTGGGGACCGTCCCCAGTAAAACCGACGACCTCCTCAATTTGCTTGATTAGCGAAATATTGTCTCTAAATCAACGTGAAGAGTAATCTGTAGTCAACGGGAGACAAAACTATCCATAGTTTTGTCTTCCGTTAACAAAACAAAACATCCATGGATGTTTTGTTTAGCCAGCGCCCGGGTGGGTCTCTCAGCCAACTTCGCCATGGTGGGGGGAGGCTTTTTGGCCACACCAGATTATCTCGGTAAGTAAGCAAGCTAGAAAGATGCGGTAAAAAGCAACAGATAGCTTGCTACAGTATCTTTCAAAATTACCTATATCATTTTTATCAGGTCATCACTGAGGTCACTGGAGGTCATCAAATGTGAAATTTTCACGAACTTTTGTTCCTAATTTTGACAACTTTTCACAAAACAGCACGTAAGTCAGAAACCAATAGAGCTGCAGTGCTGCAGGAAAGCGCATTCGATAGCTCTTTCAAAGGTCTTTCTGAGTAGGTAATGTTCTCAGATTTGACCTAAGGTTAATGGTTTATCTTCCAGGCTGGCGTTTTTGCGGACAAGCTTTTTGTATCATAACTTTGGACTCAAAACTTGTATGACGCTGACGTTACCGGCATCGCGGTTGTCTCGTCGAGACGCGTCGAATGAAAGAAGAGCATTTCAATTTTCTCCCAATGACTTGCCTATAATGAAGAGGTCGTAAAAATGACCTGACATTAGGTCACCGATGCGAAAACTTTGAGATATAAAAATTGTTAATACTGATTTCTCATGCAAAAGCTCTAGTTTCAAACTTCTGGGATTTAAACTGTATGGTATGATTTTTTTAAATTTTTTTAGTAAATTTAGTCCAATCAGTTATCCGAAAGGAATAACAGAGCCACATTTTTTTTAGAGGCATGGTTACTTTACTGACCTGGTGAGTGGTGACCTGAACTTAGGTGACCTGGGGTCAAAATTTTTACACACGATGCAAAGTTGAGATATCATAAGCTATACCAAGTTTCGCGGCGGTGCGCGCCGCGGTTTTCCCTACACGCGCAACAAAAACAACTGGCAGAAGTGGCCAAAAACGCCCCCCGTCCTCTTCCCTCCCCGCACTCGGGCGAAGGCTGATCTTGAAATATGATATTTGGTCTTCGCGGCCCTTCATATGGTCCCCAGTAACTTCAGACTCGTGGTTACGCGCCTGAGTTCGTGACTATTCTGAGTTCTGACCATGTCACCCACGGTTACACGCACCACAGCTCTCCTCCAAGTCCAGTGTCAGTCACTTTGTTCCCTTCTCTACTGACCGAGTCCTGTTCTGACGTCCTATCCCCCGTTTGGCGGCAGGTTACGGGAGCACAGTGACGCTGACATCTCTACCGCCGCCACTACCGCCGCCGCTGCCACCGCGCCGCAAACGCGAGCTCTCCCTGGCGGACGTGTCTGCTCGCGTCCAGCAGGCGCCCGACGCGCCCGAGCTGCCCCCGCGCAACAGCTCTCCGCCGCCGCGGCCGCCGCGGCGCGACCAGACCCTGCCGCGGATGCACTCTGCCAGCCTGTTGCACGCGCACTTTCCGCCCGACGTGCCGCCGCCGCGGCGTAACTCGTCGGTGGATTCTCCGCCGCTGCCGCCGCCGCCGCCGGCTACCCTGCCGCGCCGGCTGCCCGCCACCGGTGACCCGGCCACCGATCCGTTCTCACGGATGGGCATGGACAGAGGTAAGGGAAAGGGGAGATAGGAAGCGAAGAGGAAGGGAGGGGGTAGGAAGTGGGAGATGTTCGGGATAGTGTGTCAAGCAATGAAATGAAAAGAGGAAATGGTTCAGAATCTGTTTGGGTAGTTAACGAATGAGGGAATATGGAACATCAGTGGTATGGAATGCAGGGTATTGAAATGTGAAATCTCCATAACTATGGCATCTCACTGGTTCCGTGCCTGTACCATGTTTGACCTCTTGATGACCAGGTAACTGACTCGTTTCTTCCCAACCAATATGTGACTGACGCCACCAGTGGCTCAGCATCTGTTGTGGCGGCGGCGACACTAGGTCCCGTGTCAGCCGCCTCCTCGGCCGTCGGTCCCGTATCTGACCCCCGTCCCCCACCCCGTGTCTGCACAGGCGCCGTCCGCTCGGCCAGTCCGTCGTCGGGCAGTCGGAGCGCGCGCGACCCGCACCCGCACCGCAACCACTTCAACTTCAACTTCGCCATGGCGCCGCCGCTGCCAGCCGCCGGCGCCGGGCCGCAGCTGCCGCCCAAGCCGTATCGGCAGACATGCTCGCTGACGGAGCCGGGCGGCGCGCCCTAGGGCCGCCCCCGCCCCCGCCCCCGCCCCCGCTGCCGCCGCCGCCGGGCCGTCGCCGTTCGGCGGCTCGCGATGAGTGCCACGCACTACGAACAATACTGTGATAGATTGTTGACAAATCCCGTGAATATTTCTATTAGCTGTAATCAGCGGTGGCGCGGCCGGGCTGGGCTGAACTGGGCTGGGGATGGGCGGGGTCAGGTCAGGTCAGGACGGGCCGGGCCGGGCAGGGGCGGACACAGAGGTCACCGGAACCTTGGGCTGTCCGTCTGTCCGTCCAACCGACCGGCTGGCGGGGCGCCGCCGCGGCGGCGGCCGGAGTCAGCGGCCGGCGCTGCCAGGAGCCCGCGGGCCTGCCCCGGCCCACATTGATCTCAATAGAGAAGTGCGTTTCCTCCCGAAGAACGATCGACTGGTGGTGTGTGCTTACGATGCCATATATACGCTCATTATCAATGTTGCAAACGTATTATAGACGAAGTCGAGAGTACTTTTACCCATATGACAACAACGACGCTGATATGTGATTTGTTTTGGGATGTGAATTGTTGACGGATGCTATCACGTGACCGCTCCGCGGGTTCGAAAGCCGCCATTTCGAGGGCCCATCCTGGAAACGAATGGCTTTAAGCGTGCTGGTGGACGCGGGCGGGTGCCGAACGCCTGCTGCGCCGGGCACACCGGGGCCGGTGCCGCGTGTGAGTGGCCGTGGTGCCGCCCGCTGGTGGCCAAATGTCGCCTGCTGTAATATACAATTGTACATAGGACCGTGATCGGGCGTTTGTGCTGATACTGACGGTCGGTGTGGCTAGGGAAGTTTGCTAACGTACGGGTACGGGTACTTTGGTACCTGGCCGCGACAGTGACGACCTAGCCGAGAAATGCGGGGCGCCGTGAACCCAAGAGCCAGTGTCGTACCCCTCGCATCTCGTCCCATCGGCTGACAGTAAGAGTGTGGTGATAGTTTAATGCGATGCGTTACGTATTTGTTAACTGGAAGAGCCTCTAGAACTTCCTTGCCTCGATAAGGCTAACCGGGAATCGAAATTCAGTTCGGCAAACTATCAGCCTGGTGATGTAAATCACTCCGGTCAAGCATCTATCTTTAGATACGGGCTACTACACGCACACAGGAGTTGGACGACAACTAAGCGAAGTTTCGTGGATTGCACGATACACTCGTACGTCTTGGCTTTTGATTCCCGACATTGGCGGCGATGTACGCGGAAACGGGAATTTTACTGACAATTTATTACTCTTCACACAGTCACGTCTTATCACAAGTGTCGCGCTTAAATGTTAATTTTTCACGTTCAAGTTTCATATTTGGAATGCAATATTTTAACATACGTTCACTACACTATGAATTTGATGCTTGAATTTATCAATGCTCTGGCTTTCAAGTTGCCTTGAGATGAAATGTGATAAACCTGACTGAAGTGAACAAAAACACAAACAACATCGGCAAAGCACGATTGTCTCAACTGCGTGATTTGTTGTTAGCCATAAGAGCGAACCGCAGGTTTCTAACAGCTCTTCAAGTTATTAATTAGGTAAGCCATGTTCTTGTAAGCTCCGATGCCGGCCGTTTCCAGTCGGCTCCAGCCTTCCGTCTCAGCCGCCTTCCTCGGCCGACGGAGTTGAACTGTGAATCCGTCCGGTCTGCTGCGAGCGGATCGATGGAATGCAGAGCCGGCTGCGCTGCAGCGGCTGCAACGGCCGGCGCGACGCAAACAACTCGACAGTCGGCGCTTCTCCTCTCTCCATCCCCCTCTCTCTCTCGATCGCCTTTCCCTCTCTTTCCCACTCCCAGTTATCCGGTTCCTTTATTTCCCTTTAGCTCCTTGTCCGAATACCCTTGTTGATCGTCATTAGTTGTTACTTTTATGATTCGATCGTCGGCTTCCTTCATCTCTCATCTCTCCCTTCCTCATTCCTCGGCCGTTGTAATCAGTCCTTCTCATCATTCCCAGTTCGACATTCCATCCCTCTCTCTTTCTCCCCTCCCCTGTTCCCAAGCGGCGCACCTAGAAAAAACACGCACAATCCACGCACTTTCAGCAGACGCACATACCGGCGAGCGGCGCCGTTACGCAGCCGCTGAGACGGCTGACAAACAGGGGAGCGAGCGGCGGACGAAAACAGGTGCCGCCGCCGCCGACCGGGCATTGACCGGCCGCCCCCGCCGCCGCCGCCGCCGCTCGGGCGGACGGACGTTTCTCCGGCCGCGGGCGGCGGCACACCGCGCAAGTCGGCGACCCCTCTGTGCGCGCACGGCCGCCGGCGCTCGCCACGCTCGTTGCAGACCAGTGTTTACGCATAACTCTGTGCGCCTCAGTAGACGACCATAACGCCGGTCGACGCCAAGATGTAATGATGCTGTTTACTCTATTTACAACTACCAAACAGGTCGGCGGAACAAAAACGACAATAACAAGGCGGTGTACAATAACACTGTTATTGTACACGAGCTGAGCTCGCCGGCGGCCGCCTCCGGCCCGTCGCGGCCGCGGCAGCCAGTCAGCTGTTGGTCGGCCGCTGCGCGCCGTGCCGCTACGGTGGTAGAGCTGGCTGTCAGCTCTCGGGTTCGCTCGAATGCTGACGGGCTGGAGAGCGCTGGCCGCTGTGCAGAATGCAGAGCGATAGGAGAAATGTAAAAATCAACATTAATTAGAGTGAATGCATGGAACTGAGAGGGACGACACCTGTTCGGTATAGGCCGTGGTGAAATGCGTCGGCAACATTCCACCCGAAATACCGTCTTCTTTTGTTTGTTACGGCAAACTGGCGTTGGAAGAAAGGCTTTCCAAAACACGCATACACACAATGGGCTCATCACCCCGCGATAGTCGTAAGTTTAAAGTTTGGCGTGAAACATCGCGGACATCGAACAAATCGTCAAAGCGCAGCCATTCGAACTAAAATCTCGTATTTCGAAGGCCTATCTAAAGTGTTATAACGTGGTAACAATGATCGTTGGACTCAAATATGTTTGGGAGTTGTTAAATTCATTCATTTCAGTTCATTCATTTCAATGGATTCATTGAAGAATCGATTTCGTGAACAAGCGTTTCCACAAATATATTTATTTTAAATGCCACATTAAAAACGCGAAACAAACAAAAAGCGAAGGCACAAGGGAAGGGAACAACCGACAGTCTCGGGCACACATCGGTACCACCTCATCACAAAGCTCTTATCTCAGGAACTTCACAATGACATGTTCAAACTGTCCCGATTTTCCTCCCGTGCCGCTTTATAGCTAAGTTATGTCAAGACATCGTGATTATTATACAGGCTACACAGAGAGATAGGCTTATTCCGAGCCGGCATAATAACATAGGCGTGAGAGTGCTAACTAATCAGTTCACAAAAACCCGATATCGGCGCGGCAGTGCTATTATAAGTAATCGGTTCACAGCTTGTGAAAGTCTCATCGCTTGGTCCCTAGTGTTCCGTCCATCCCTGACTTCACAGATCTGCAGTAGCCGCCGGAGCCCGCACGGTCCGGACCTCCGCAGACCCAACAACCAGAGAGCGGTACAGGCAGCCCGGGGCGGACACCTCGGAGGGAGCTACGGTCTCGGTGACTGATGTCCTCTGTTTATCGACTATCCTGCGGCTGAGCTACGGTGCCACCAGTGGCAGTTTCGGGTAGCGCATTCAGCGACATCGGAGCTGGCCTGAGCCCGCGAGAAGAATCATATGGACGGCATAGTGAGTCCGATAACACTGGACTTAAATGCTCCTTACTGCCAGTAGTAGGGGGAAGACATAGCTGGCGACTATCCAGTTGATGCGACATCATGCGGCCATGACCACTGACGCGACATCATCTGCGGCCATGCCCGCTGTCGCGACATCATACGGCCGTGGCCGCTGACGCGACATCATACGGCTATGACCGCTGACGTCACACAGCGAGACGACCACATCACCTCCACACCAGCGCCGGCTGCCACCAGCCCATCCCCCGACGCCGCTCTATCACAGAACCCGCTCACTCCGGCCGGCGGCAGCCGCTCTCTCAGGGCACCTCTCCCAGCAGCGTGACATGGAAGCAGCGCGGTGCCGTACCACCGGACGGCTGTGTCAGACTCAGGGTCAGCCGGCCGGTGAACACACCAGTTCCCGGCGGCTGGAAGAACACCGGCAGGTGGATGTAGCGCCGCGCGCGCGACAGCATCCGCTCGTGGTTGACGGAGAACGGTCCCGACACGTGCAGGTCCAGCTGGGGGAGGAGAGGAGGGTGTCAGCGGGCGGCATGTCATAGCTCGGTACAACTCAGCGGTCAGACACGGCAGTGTCCCAAAATTTGTAGATGTGGGTGGGAAACGACATCCAAATGAAAATCATTTTCCACTCTCACCTCCAGTCTTCAAGCCCAATTTTCCACTCCCAATTGCACTGAGAAAGAGCAATTGCGTGAATGTTTTTTTTTTGCATCTGTTATTGTAGATAGATATGTTTTTGATCATTTTCCCACTCTTTTTGGGCCTTACCTGATTGACAGTTTTTTCACTCTCATCCTTTTTTGGTCATCAATTTTCCTCTCTGACACACAAGCAAAAATATAATTTTGGGACACTGAGACACGGCCCAGCGTCCAGAGGTGAACATACTTCAGAACTCAGCACATCAGCTGGATATATACGTCGATGGAAGTCAATTATTAATCATCCCTCCTGCTACGTTCTATCATGTCCCAAGAAAACAGCCCTCAACAGCTCCATCTACCCCGACCTAGTCAGCGTTTTACCTTCGAAGTTACCGGTAGGTGTAAGGCTAAATCGATCTAAGCATAATCTATCCAAATAATCAAGCTTAGTGCCACTGGTGCGTCCATACCTCGTAGTCGAGCCGCGTCCGGTTGCTGATGGCCAGCTTGACGGCACGCTCGTTGGGCGGAAACTCGATCGTGTCGGGCTCGACACTCAGCGGGAACTTCTCGGGCTCGGCGGCCGCCGCTGGCGAGATGGCCTGGCCGGCCACACGCACCAGGAGGCAGGACGGCTGCACCGCCTGGTTGCTGTCTCTGAAGGTGGGATAGACGGGTAGGGGTGAGGTCAGCCCCGGGAGAGAGAGATACAAGAGTGCACTACATCTGAATACAGATAGTCACAGTGACAAGCGACAAACCAAAAGAAAAAAGAAAAGAAGAAAAATAAAAGCGAAACTAACAAAGGCGCTGGCAATAGAACTGACACCCCACATAATTCACAACAGAACGAGACTGACTGAATGCCACCTGTAACCCTAGCTCTAAACAGACCAGCCTACTCTTGACCGTACGCCGCTCTACATATCAACTCCCCTGCGGCCGGCACGCAGCACGGTATTCACACCGGCGCCGTGTCGGCCGAGGTCGACCGTACCCTACCCCTGCCCGGACCCCGCTCCCCATAGGTCCCCCCACAACCCAGCGGCCGGCACGCGGTACTCACACCGGCGCCGTGTCGGCCGAGGTCACCAGGTAGAAGGTCTGTGTAAAGTAGCCGGCCGCCGGCGGGCTGAACCGAGCCGCCAGTGACACCGTCTGGCCCGGCCGCGCGTCGCCCTGGGTCGGGTGGAAGCGGAACACGTCGCCGCCCACCTGGGTCAGGTCACAGGCGCGCGGAGTGCTCTGTGGGAGGACAGGTCAGCGGGTCAGGTAGGGTCACAGGCGCGCGGTGTTCTGTGGAACAGGTCAGGTCAGCGGGTCAGGTCAAATGCTCGAAGTGTGCTCTGCGGGTCAGGTAGGTCAGGTCGGGTCAGACAGGTCACAGGCATGGGGCGTGCTCTGAGTGCCAGGTCGGCGGGTCAAGTCGGGTTACACAAACGGCTGGGCACGGCCAGTCAAATAAAAAACACGTAGGTAATCGAATGATGATGATTATACTTAGGGTTTACATAAGAATACTGCAAACAGTTTGCTTGGATGTCATATGTTAGTAGATCCCATTGGATAAACAATGAAATACTCAAGTCGACAGAATCAGTCAAAAGCAGCCCATTATACAAAGGTGGCATCCTACCAGGCCACCAATGACTCCCAGAGCGCAAAGTGGTGCCAGTTGTACCTAGCCACTAACCTGAATCCAGGGTTTGACGAGCGCCTCCAGCGTCCAGCGCAGTCCCACGCCGCTCGAGTTGGTGAACCCGAGCGAGGCGGCCGAGCGCTGTCCCACAGCCGTGGTCGGGAACGTGACCTGGTCGGAGGCGAGCTGCAGCGGCGCCGGCCGGCCGGCCACTCCGCCGCCGCACGGGGGCGACAGGATGGGCGGCGGCGGCGCCAGCAGCTCGGCGCCCACCGGACCCGACTCGACCGAGACCTCAGAGACGGGAGGGCCGCGCAGCGCCGGGGCGGGCAGACGAACAGGTCGCTGGCTCTGGCCGGGGAAGAGGAGAGCGGTCAGTTAGTCGGTCAGCAGGTACACAGACACCGGGAGGGCACAATAGGACGTCAGTCACTGCACTGACACATGGAGATGGTTTGCTGAATCTTATAGCCCCGTCGTACACAGTCCGACAGTCATCGGCATTACGTCGACTCCATCGGTACAGATTGCATATTACTTCATCCCACGGCACGTCCCCACACACTACACAGGGACTCGATTACGATTACACAGGGACTCTATTACAAACGAATTACCGCTGTTCAGTTCAAAGTCCGTCATTAGTTCCACTCGCTCTCACCGTGTTCAGGTGGTTCTGAGCCGCGGCATGTGACGGCTCCGTGTGACAGGAGCGCTGGGCCGGGGCAGCCCTGGTCACAGCCGGGGCCACGGAGGTCGGCGCCGGCCGGCGGGTCTCCCTGCAGGAGCGCGGACAGAGACTGAGGTACAGGGCGGCACTCGAAGCACGGTTTGAATAGAGAACCGGACGTATGAGTACGAGCTACAGGTGCCAACTCGTATCACAAACGGCTATGTTTACAACACTCGGATGAACATGCCAGTGTGCAGAGGCGAGCAAATCGGTTACATAGATCAAATTAAAAACATTAGGCAAATAGATACAGGAAAAACGTCACTGTTACACCACAAAACGTTCACAAATCACTAGTTTGACACACAGGGGTCTCATATTTCGTTTTATCGCCAGCTATTTCTTTCATTACACATTCCATAAAACGGAAATAAAAAATTACGGCAGCACTTTCCAAAAATCTGCACACATCACAGCGTGCATGAATCGCGCATCTATCGTTCCAGCCCTAGCGAAGAAGCGCTGTCCCCTCCCGTCCACCCACCGTGTGACGTTAGCGAAGGAGGTGTTGTTCAGAATGCTGGCCATCGTATCGTCAGCGTGTAGGACGGTGAACACATCCGAGCAGTCGATCGGAGCCGCGCGAGAGCTCAGCGTGGCTGGAACAGAGCGCAGAGGTCAGGTCGGGGTGGGGTCAGGTTGGGGCAGAGTAGGGGTCAGGGCAGCAGATGTCAGAGCAGAGGTCAGGGAAGGTGTGAGTGACACGGCCAAAGGTCAAGAGACTAGGTGATGACGGATTAGGTTGGGTCAGAGCTCATTCGTAGAAAAATGTTAGACCAGATTATGGATCCGTTAAGACTTATAGATTATACAAAATCCAATCAGATCAGGCAAAGTCGGGACAACATTATTATAGATCTGCCGTCCAAAGGAAAAACCGATTACGTCGATTTTTGGCCATTTTCGGTTTTTTATACCATTTTGTTCGTCTGTTTAAGGCGCATCTGCTGGTGGGATCGAAATTCAAAAATTCTAAAATTTGAAAACGTTATTCTAAAAAAAAAAACGTTTCCAAAATTCATCACGTGTAATTTGGATGCACGATGGAAGTGGCAGAACCCATCACGTCTCACCTCAACGTAAAAAACCATTACGTTCGCTGTTTCTTTCACTTTCACTAAGAGCAAAAGCCATCACGTCTCTGAAAGTCATTACGTGCAGCTTAAAAAAATGAACAAAGCTTGGCAAAAGCCATCACGTGTCTTTAAAAAACACACGTAATGGTTCTATGTCAGCTTTGGATACCCCTGTTGTTGTGTCAAAAGCCATTACGTGCCACGTGATGGGTTTTGACTTGAGTCCACGACGCATACATGATGGGTTTTGCCAAATTTTTAACCACGTAATAGGTTTTGACATGAGCCTGAATGGCATACGTGATGGGTTTTGCCGAACTGGTGATACGTAATGGGTTTTGACATGAGCTCGAAAGGCACACGTGATGGGTTTTGCCAGTTTGTTTGCAAATTATATTTGCAAATATAATTTGCAAATATAAGTCCAAGTCCTGGAAGTTTAAACAAAATCGTATCAAATAATTTTTTACAATGAGCGAATGAAAATGTCTCTGCAAAAACGCCCATAGACTTAACATGGGGAGCGAAAAAAGTTCAACTTCAAAGTCGTACTACAAAAAATATCGACTTCTTACGGGTATACAACGCACAGGGGCGTGTACCTGAACGTGTCGGCCATAAAATGGTGTGCAGCAAACTATACCTTGACCTGCGATTTTCCCGCTATTCGCGATCGCGCAGTGTCCAAAACCCCGTTGTCTTAACATGGGGAAAATGGAAACGCACGTGCCACGCGCAAAAGAATTCTGAGCGAGTAGCGACCGGTGCCATCAGGTAGATCGCCTGCGGGAGCCCATACCCTGAACTTTTTGCGAAGATTGAGCGATTCGTTTAGGCCCCTACCAGGTTGCCCCAATTCGCGGCCAGACATGCAAAACATAGCCCGGAGAAGGACCGCTCCGGTTGTTTTTCAATAGAAAAACACAATTCTAACGAATAGTGTTTGTCTAATGACACCTCGATGTCCGCCGATGCTGTGCATCAGGTCGTAGCGAAGAACCTGAAAAGGATGGCAAGGGTGGAGGATTTTCAGGACTACGCTGAAGCCACAGAAGCTGCTGGAGTGCGCTGCGTGGTCATGGAGCCGGGGAGCAACATGGTGCGGATCGAGGACGCCATCAGTCGCTACGCGCTGAAGATGTTGGGCGACCAAGGACTGCGACCGGACCTTCTACACTTCAAGACTGTGAAAGTCGAGCGGGGATCGGACGAGATCTTCACCAAGACGATCTTAAAGGGCGAGGACTGGATGGTGTACAAGGTGCTGAAAAGCACGTGCCACGTAAAAGAACAGCCAGCACTGAGAACGACTTGTAGTGGGATAACAAAGGAGAGGGCGCAGGGCATATGGTCCAGCCTGGTCCCACATCTGCGTGCGCACAAGCGTGAGCTCTGGCGCAAGATCCTGAGTGCCAGTTTTGGACAAGAAAGTACAAAACGCAAGAGGGTAGACACGCCCACAGGAGGCAGGCGCAAGAGAAGCCGGAAGAGTTAAGGGGCTCAGGCAAGACAGGGATCCGTGTCAGTGCGCACACGTGACTGCGTGTGCCAGTCAGATGAGATAGAAGCACAAAGTTCTTCTGATAATTTGTTATGACCTGTTTTGTACATTTGTATGCGTGACCCTTTTCACGTGATATGTATTCAATCAATTCAAAGGCACACAAACACTTCGTATAAAAAGTTCTTGTTCTGCCGCAAGTGACCTCAGTCACAAGTTCTTCTTGGTGACTGAGGAAGTCTGACTTGATGACTGCGTTTGTTTGATAACCTTCTGATGTTTATATCTAATAAACAATTAGACGAACCCAGGTTTGTTATGTAACATGAGCTGGCAAATCAGTGTGATGGAATTTGTCGATAATTATGGTAGCGTAAAAGTACCTATCAATGAAACCAATACGTTGTGGCAACGCGACAGATTCAGTAAAGTTTGATGTTCCGACATTATCGATTATTACAGCACAGCGAACATTACAAGGCACTTAAACGAACGTCGTACATACCAACAAACGAACGAACGAACGAACGAACGAACGAACGAACGAACGAACGAACGAACGAACGAACGAACGAACGAACGAACGAACGAACGAACGAACAAACAAACAAACAAACAAACAAACAAACAAACAAACAAACAAACAAACAAACAAACAAACAAACAAACAAACAAACAAACAAACAAACAAACAAACAGACAGACAGACAGACAGACAGACAGACAGACAGACAGACAGACAAACAAACAAACAAACAAACAAACAAACAAACAAACATTAAATGACCTAGTCACCGAATACTTGTTCCTTGGTTTGCTTAGGTTAGGTTTTGGTTAGCCTACATAAAGCTAAGCACAATAGGTACCATTCTGATTAATCCTGTTGCAAGAAGATTTATTGATAAGCGATTCGGATCGTATAACGTATCAAAAACCAAAATAATGGTCTTTGGCAGGACAGCTCCGGTACAGTGGACGCTTGGCACTGAATCAATAGAACAAACTGATGAATACACCCACCTAGGAATCATTATGACAACCAGAAGTCCAGCAAAGAGAAGGATAGAAGAATGCATGAAGAAAGCAAGAAGAACATTTTTTGCTAAGTGTAAGAAAGGAATCAACCTCAAAATGGACAATCCGATGTCACACTATACAACGTGGAGAATATATGCTGAACCGGTTCTAATTTACAGCCTAGCAGTTACATCCCTTTCACCAACAGATATCATGTACTTGGAAGGGATGCTCATGCGCATTTACCGTCTCATCCAAGGTTTACCAACCAAAACGCAAAAAATGGTGACATATGTGATGTTGGGTGCACCGACATGCACAAGCCTCGTAATGAGAACCGCACTCCAATTCATAGGTTTCCTTCTGAGAGCTGCGAAGGAACACACTCTAACCAGATATATCATCACCCATGGAGCAGTCAATGCTGATCGAACCACGAGTCTTGTGCGCCAATGGGACACATTGCTCCAACATCTGAACTTACCAAGCCTCTCTATTCTGGCTAATCAAAAAATAGACCAACCGCGGACAGCATGGAACAAGTTAGCATCTGCATCAGTGGATCAAAGTATGACAAAAATCATCAGGAACACAGCAGAGAATATGACAAGTTTGTTTTGGCTTTCGCTACTGCCACAAACCGAAAAGTACGAGGCGCCGAAAACATTTTGGCCGGCAAGCAAGTACAGCGCAATTACCAGACAAGCGACACTAACCAAAATTGTCCTACTAACGGGCCACTCTTTGGTGGCCACAAGCATGGTTAGAAGGCACACAGAAACTGTTGTCTGTCCATTGTGTCGTAATGCCATTGAAACTCTGGAACACATGCTCTTTGAATGTGACAAACTGAAAGACGATAGAGTAGCTGCTCAAAAAATATACAAAACTATCTTGAACAGAACGCTACCAGCAGCAGAACTTATCATCATCGCTAGAGGTGGCAAAAGATGAAAATTTTGGGAACCAGACTCGAACCAGACCCGGCTGGACATTTCTGGAACCAGTCGGACCCGGTCTTAGTTGGAATCGGAACCAGTTGGACCCGTTCCCCAAAAGTCAATTAATGCAAACTACTGGTAGGTATCATTAGTTGCATCATGTAAAACAGCCTATTTCCCACTGGGAATACTCATGAGATACTGTGTGCAAAGAAACATTCACTTCATATTTTGCGGTAATGTGTAGTGTGCAAGATGTATAGTTAATGGTAGGACCCGGTTGGACCCGTCAGAAAAGTTCCAGGAACCGGTCTGGACCCATATGGGTCCAGACTGGTTCTTTGGACCGGGTCCTCGGGTCCACATTTTGCCACCTCTAATCATCGCCGATAAGCCACAAAGCTTGATCATCCATTATATCTACCAAGCCCGTGTGCGCAAGGAACTCACTGAGAATATAACCCAGAAGAGTAACTGTTAACCCGCGCCCTGCTGGGGGGGGGGGGTGTTTGAACACCCCCCCTTGTGGTTTTTCGTGAATATCTCAAAAACGGCGGCGCGGAGCGCCGCCGTTTTTGGTACACCTTATCACACATCAATTCTACACATGTTGTGAAAATTTCAGACCAAGGTCATTCAAGGTCAGGTCACCAGGTCACTTGAAGTGACCTCACCTCATAAAAAGTTTCAATGTCTCTCATAGCTACACCGAGTGACCGATCGCTTTGAAACTTTCAGCGATTGCTAAGAGCAATAGCATGTACAAAATGTATATCTCAGAATTTTGATATCGATGACCTAAGGTCAGGTCAATTTTGCGACCTCCCCATTATAAGTCAATGGGAGAAAATTGAAATGCGCCTCTTTTGGACGAAAGACATTATAAAAACTCCCAAACACTGAATTACAAGTGGTTTAGACACACTGAACATGAAAATGGTGTCCGTGACCCCTGTTTATGCCCTGAGGTCATCTTAGGTCACGAATGGTATCTAACAGTTTTTCGCAAATAACTTTTGATAGACGCATGCTAGAGCGATGAAAACGCCTTAGATGTGTTCAGC